CCACAGCACTGGTCGACCACTAAGAGGGTTTTGCGTTATCTAATAAGTACATCGGGCATGGGGCTAGTGCTAGGAGGACGCAGGCGAGTGGTCCTTACAGGGCAAACAGACGCTTTGTGGGCAGACGACGCTGAGGCACTCAGGTCCTCCCAGGGCTACTGCTTTAGCCTTGGTGCACGTGCCGTCTCATGGAGGTCCACCCGCTCGTCGTCTGTTGCCCACTCTAGCTGTGAGGCTGAGATCTACGCCAGTGTCATGGCGGCACAAGAGCTCCGCTGGCTGACCTTCTTGCTCACAGACTTAGGTGAGCGGCCTAGCTCTACCCTGGTCCTGTATGCTGACAACAGGGCTATGATCCTCCTATGTCAGGAGCCTCAACTGGAGGGCAGGGCAAAGCACATCCAGCTGCGGTACTTCCTCCTGCGCGTGCTACAGCATTGCTGCCAGGTCCGCGTAGTACACTTGGCCTCTGGTGCCAACACAGCTGATATCTGTACTAAGCCGCTTGCTCCTAAAGATCATCAACGGCACTGTGTGCAGCTTGGTCTGGTTCCTGTAGCTCATCACTTGCTAGGACCTTGATTGTGTACTACTCTTTTATATATACCCTCTTGACTGGCCTTGTGGCTTATCCTCCAGTGGCCGGACTAGTAGTGCTGCCCTGGTTTGATGTTGTCTAGTTTGTACTCTTCCTGACTTGTCTTCGGACCCTTATCTTAGAGGTTGGACTAGTAGTGCCGCCCTGAGTTGCTGATCTCTTTCCGGGCGCTGCACCTTGTCTAGTTTAGGGGGTGTGTCTAACATATTTGTAATGTTACTGTAGCCTAGATAGGGGCATGCCTTAGAGAGCACAGCTCATTAGGTCAAAACCACACTGCACCCTTGTTGCTAGTTCATTCTGCTACTCTAGGACCCCTCCCCTCCTTTTCGATTTCCTCCCCCTCAAGGCCTGTTCCTATGTGACACATGGTCATGTCACTTCGTATCAAAATTGTTATTGACCTGCAAATATGTCTGGCAAAATGTCAAATGACACGAAGTTGCCGGACATAATGTCACGTAGGAACACGCCCTCAATTGAGGCACATGCCCTCGAATGGTTGCGACGCCTACACGCCCTCGAATTTCTGGGGCTGTGATGCGTGTAGGGGAGAAATGTCCCTGGGTTGGAGGACATAGAAAATTGTTGCGACCTGGTGGGGCCGGGGGTTGGGGGGGAGGGGATCATGCGCCAGCCAGGGGAGAAACTCCGTAAGTCTCGCCCTTGTTTGTTTCAGTGTCGACCCTCGTTAGTGCGCTGAGGCATCAGTGTCTAGGCACATGTCCTCAGAGGAGTGTGCAGTGTAGTCATCATAGCATTTCATAGCTCTAGTATACAGCACACTTGATAGGCCAAGTACATGGCAAGGGGACAAAGATGGGCAGGACATGCTAATCTTCGAAGCGAGGGAGGGAAGAGAGAGGGCAAGTTGGAACAGAAAATGCAAATGAGACTAGGTGGCAGGTCTGAAGGACCTGCCGATAGATGAAGGAATTTGTCTCTTTTATAGCAAACTCCCCTTCTAGTCTAATCACAATCTAGTGTAGTAAAATATTTACTACATAAAATTTTCTCATATTGTGATACGACCTCAGAGGAGTGTGCAGTGTGTTCACTTATATATTATTTATATATATTTGTGTAGGCTTGGTAGGTGTTAGGTGTCCTACAATGGATCTTATTGTAGAGGGTACAACACCCTTCTTGTATCCCTCTCTTCTAGTCCAACTCTCTTTTCTCTCCTCACTTTTCTCCCTAGCTAAAACCTCTCGCCATTCTCATGCCTAGCTAGCTTCTTAGCTCCTTTCAACATGGTTTCAGAGCAGGAAGATCCTGCTGAGCCTCCTATTCATGCTTCCGCCACGTACTCTCTCCTCTCCTTTCACTTTCGCGTCGCCGTGGCGGCCTCCATGTGCTGCCGCGGCGGCCTCGTCGCGCGGCCAAGGCGACCTCGACTCGCCGCGCTGCCGTGGCGACCTCGTCCACCGCCACCGATATCGCCGCTTCGCACGAGGGGTAGAAGCCACACCTGCTGCAGGACATGGGGGTGCAAGGGCTTGGGGGTGTTGCATGTGTGGTGTGCTAGCGCCTACCAAGCCTAAGGGGGTGTGTCAACTTATATATTATTTATATATATTTGTGTAGGCTTGGTAGGTGTTAGGTGTCCTACAATGGATCCTACTGTAGAGGGTACAACACCCTTCTTGTATCCCTCTCTTCTAGTCCAACTCTCTTTTCTCTCCTCACTTTTCTCTCTAGCTAAAACCTCTTGCCATTCTCATGTCCAGCTAGCTTCTTAGCCCCTTTAAGTACAGTGCAGTCGTCATAGGGCAACTGAGACATCAAGTGGGAGGTCGTCGGCCGTGGCGCTCGAGGGTGGCCTGGTATCGATCGGACGGGCTCGAGTGAGTAGGATCTTGTAGCGTGCGAGAAGCTGCCACTAGCTCACGGTCAAGTTGAGTAATGTAAAGCTCCTTGGCTGTATCACTTCGCTAGCGGCCGAGGGCCTTTAAAAGCCGGTCAGGGACTCCAACATCAACTGCGACCGCCGCAGCCGCCTTGCGGAAAGAATGGGTGCCCAGGAGGGTCAAGCTGAGGCCGGCACAGGAGAAAGCGTCACGACACCAACCCCGAATGGCGGCGTACGAGGGAGAGCGATCTGAAGGGGAAGCTCGGGCACCCGGCTGAAATATACGAATAAGGGGCCAAGGGTCCGCAGAGAATAGCCAGCTAGGAAGAGGAATTGCTGGACAGGCGACACTGGACAGTGGCGGGCAGAAGAAGCAGCCACTGGGACCCAAGCACCGGTGCCAGCTTGGTCGGTCTTCGATCGGCGGATGAACAACCACATGCAGTCCCAATCGAACTCGATCTACTGCCACTGGAGGGAGATGAGATATGAGAAACGAAGGAAGGCTGCGAACATGAGGGGAATAAGGCCCTGTTCGAAAGTGGTCGGATCAGGTGACGAGAAGTAGATGTCACAGTTATTGTAGATCTTGGTGGGAGGAACAGGCTTCTTGGCTTGAGACGGCTTGCCACAATGACGCATGGCGTAATCCTTGACTTGCGAAGAAAAGGGGCCGCGAATCGGGGAGGGGTGTATGACCAGCCAATGGACACAGGATATGGCGGAACACGCAGTGCGCACAGCTGAGACGGTAGCGTCGCGACGGAGCGAGTGTAGCAGAAAGAGGGTTGCTGTCAAATCAGTGGTAAGAAATAAGGGAAGTGAGTGCTCCAAACAGAAGGCTCGAAACTGGGACCAATGGGGTTCGTAAGTGCAAAGGGTAGACTTCGCTCGAAGATCGACGGTGAGCGTGAGAAGTTTCGACAATAATCGACCAATATATGAGCATGCGCAGTGAAATAAATTATACGTTAGTTGAATGCAAAACGAAGTGCATACATTGGACAATTCGGAAGACCGGTGCCACTAAAGGCGTAACGGTCACTACCAACGCGTAAACAACTAGAACCAATGGTAAGGCGAATGGCCATAACGACCTCCGGGCCCCAAGTGAAGCCGTCCAGGCTTAGCAAAGGCCACCAGAAAGCACAGGGCCAATATGGGATCACGAGAGTGAGAGAAGTCTGCGAGCGACGGGCATGAGCAAGGAAAGTCGGGATGAGGGCGAGTGGAGGAAAGGCAAAGCAATTCTCGTGTCCCCAGTTAATAGAAAAGGCGTCTTGCGCAACGGTAGAGTGCTAGAACTCGAGGGAGCAGAAACGAGCAAGTTGCGCATTGGCAGGGGATGTGAACAAGTCGATTGTATTAGCCCCCCAAGTTCTCTCTAGTAGTAGGAACCAAGGCCGGGTCAAGGAGCCGTCGTCGTGGAGCTCAACCTTGGATAGAGCATCAGCCTCGGTATTCAGCTCGTAAAGGAATCCATTGGACCGTAAGACGAATCATATGGCGCACGCACAATTGGATAATCGTGAGGCATATGAAGGTAAGCTCCGGACGGCAAGAGCCTCCCTTCTGGAGGATGTAGTAGGCCGCCTGGCTGTCGTTGCAGAGCAAGACGTGCACACGCCAGATTTCGGCACAATAGGCGGAACGGGACCAAAATATTCCTGCTAGCCCGCGAAGGATACTGGACGAGCCCAAGAGGGCTAGAGGCAGCGGGAAGGAGAAAGAGCCAACACGACCATTCGGCGCTGAATAACAAGCCCCCCAGGCATGGTCGCTAGCATCCACATACATGACCACGTCGTATAAATGCGTGTTGTGGAAGCGGGCGCCGTTGAAAACGTCAAACAGTGTAAGCAAAAAACGCAACTCTTCAACAGACTCAGGGATTAGAGAATGGCCGCCCCCCATGAGTGGCATTCGGTGATCTGCGCGAGAAGGTGGTGGGAGAAGGCGCGCGTGACAATGCCAAGTGCCAAGGACATAGAAGCCAACATGCCGGTGATGTGGGCAGCGCGGTGAACAGGGATGCGATGCCCGTTAGCAATGAGTGCGCATAATTCATCCAGCTCGGCAAAAAGTTGGCTGCGCCGATCCACATCGCCAGAGAACGGAGTAGTGCACGTGTCTAGCAAGAGGCCCAAGAACTTCAGAGATTGTGCCCACGCGAGATGTGATCTTTTGAAATTCACAACGAAGCCTGCGGCTGCGAGGTTGGCGATGATTATGGGGCGGCGGTGCAGCGCCTCCGTCCGAGTGGCACTGATGAAGAACATATCAGCGACGAATGGAATAAGACGGATGCTACGGCTACGCCAGCGTTTGGAGAGTTGCTTGATTAATTGGTAGTCTTGCCCTTGCTGAGAGAATTCGAGAAACCTCCAAAAGGCGGGGTGAATGTCGACGTGGTGGTATCCGAATTTGAGATTGATCGTGAACACCCAATCGCCTTCGTGCACCAAATCAGGAATGCAAGTAAGTCCTTTGTATCGAAATCGGGGTACCGAGAGGAATGAGATAACATGCCGCAAGTCCAATACAAGCCTCTTTTTAGAGGGTTGGACAATCACGTTTAACGGGCTAACGCATGTAAGGGTTGCGGAAGGAGGTACGACTCGAGCTGCGCCGGTGGTGAGAAGCTCAGCCACTGCATCTTCTGCGAAAGAGGTGAATTTCAGGGCACCGGCATGATTCTTAGTACGAGACGGAGGGGGATCAGAAGAAACCCATGGTAGGCGATAGCCAGATGTAATCACCGACAGAATCAAGCGACTGTCGCACCAGGCGGACCACCATGTAGCGCGGTCACGGAGGCGCCCTTTCATGTGTGTAAACTTGGTTGCGTCATCGACATAGGCCGAAATGGTTCCGAGCTCTGGTTGGAGAGGGAACACAGATAGGGACGGTAGAGGATAAGGAATATGCTGCACCACATTTTGTTCCGAGTGCTACAAGTGAGGTTTTCTTCTTCTTCTTCTTCTTCTTCTTCTTCTTCTTCTTCTTCTTCTTCTTCTTCTTCTTCTTCTTCTTCTTCTTCTTCTTCTTCTTCTTCTTCTTCTTCTTCTTCTTCTTCTTCTTCTTCTTCTTCTTCTTCTTCTTCTTCTTCTTCTTCTTCTTCTTCTTCTTCTTCTTCTTCTTCTTCTTCTTCTTTCTTTTCGGGGAAGGAATGCAAACGCTAATTATATAGGTGCCCGCTGGCTCACTATTCTTCAGCCGCGTCATTCCTTAAGTGATATACCCCTGAGTTGGGCATGTCAACTTGGCATGCCTGGGCTGTAATTGGTTGTCATATATGGTGATGACTACAAATCTTGTCATGAGTCTTATCAACGTCAGTCTTTAAAGGACACACACATATTGTGTACGCGTCTTGTGGGCACGTTCATGTATTCTTGCTCGGGCCCAACGAGCAAGACCATGTGGTGTCGTGACGTGCGTGTTAATCTTGCTTGAATGCAAAAACACTTATTTATAATAAGAACGCTACAACATTGAAGAGGAAAAGCAATCTTTACACAATCTTAGCCGGCTGATTGGCTCCTTGGCTGCTTTGGGGACAATTAGCCATCCCATGTTCGGGTTCCTGGCAATAGAAACAACGGCCATCGCCGTCCCTACGCCATGTGTTCCAAAGGCGCCCCCCTCGGCCTCGAGGGCGAAGAGGGGGTTCAGGATGAGAGGTGGAATGGGTGGGCCGAGTGGGACTCTTTTTGGTTGCCGCTACAATCTGAGTAACAGCCTTCTCGTGATACTAAGGAAGAGCGCAACTGAGGACGTGCAAACAGAATGGGAGCAAGAATGAGCGCTGCAGAAGCGGATTTCAGGCGGGAGGCATTACCTTCGTCGAGCGTGGCATGGGGTGCTTCCTCGTCCATTTCGTCGCCGACGAGGTCAGGGGCGGGCGCCGAGGGGCGAGAGCATGGGGCAGTGGCAACGTGCTGTTTCCGGTGACGGTGCGGGATCAACGCCATTGCCACGCTGGAGCGCTGCGAGAAGACCAAGAACATGGCGAATGGCCTCGTTGTTGGTGTCGGCGTTAACATTGTTGTCGGTGTGGCGAGCAGAATTATTTTCTGTATAATGCGGCACTGTAGATGCAGTGGAGCATGCTGTAACGTGTTCGCTAGCAGCAGCTCTTGTGAAGATGCGTTGGAGATTGCGCAGGGCTGCACGATCCAGGCGCGCAATCATTGCGGCGATTTCTGCTGCTCCAGGGGTCGAGATCTGCGGAATTCCGCGCAGATTCACCGTGGCAGGAGAAAAATCCGTACGGTGATCTGCACGATCCCGGTCCCGATCCTGGCGATCCTGGCGATTCTGGGGCGCTGGGCAGGCCTCTCGATATCAGGGTGAAATAGGCTGATGACCCTTACTATAACGGTGGGGTACGCGTTGGACCCTTTTCTTTTTTAGTTACTTCTTTTACATTCCCTTACGAGAAAAACTGGAAAATTTGGGGCCCTGATTTATAAGAGTGCTTGGGTGTAGGCACGCTGATGAGGAAAAGTGCCCCCGGGGCCGACCCTTGCACGAAATTCTGGTGAAGTCCCCGGCGGCTAGATACACTCCTCCCCACACCCCTCGCAACCTGGTTTTTCCGTCTAAGTCCCCCACACCAGAGACATTTTTCCTCACACCTCTGGCAGCCCAAAAATTCGGCTAAGTCCCCCACACCAGAGACATTTCTCCCCATACCTCTAGCAGCCCCAACATTCGGCTAAGTCTCCAAAACCAGAGACATTCCTCCTCACACCTCTCCCACGCCAGAATGTTTTGGCGAAGTCCCATACTGCCAAGCATTCCTCCCAGATCCGTAGCTTAAAAGTTGGCTCATGCTCCTCCCTAAATCCCGATTTTGACGAACAAATTTATGGGTTTTCAATTTGCATCTAGGCTGGGAACAAAAATCCCCCTGCCAAACATGGGATGGCCTTGCGCGGTGACTTTTCTTCAGCCTGCTTTCTCCACCCTGCTTGATTGGGTGGAGGTCACGAGCGAACCCTAAAAGCCAGGGTGGCTTGAAACAAAGCAAGCAGGACCCTGAATGTTACACGTCACCCTGCCCACGAGTAATCTCGTTAATTTCGGCGCTAGCAAACAAAAAGCCCTTGGTGCCCCTTGCGGATGGGGGCACAAGGCAGCAAAACTGGGTTGCCCAACTTGGATGATTGCGCAACTCGCGATAGAAACCCCTCCCTCTCCAATGATTTGTTCGCATTACAGTAAGCCCGCACTTGGATTCTACCCTTACACCGAAGAGTGTTTTTTTCTAGGACCCTTGTACTGCAGCCTATCAACGAAATATAGCATTACAATAAAAAGTGCTTAAGGGGGGGTGGGCTTCTGAAAATGAGTACTTCAAATCCTATCCAGAGGCCTGGCGCTGAGGCGTGGAGATCGCGCTCATGATGACGCCCTACGCGCGCAGGATCACAATCATGATTGTGGTCCTCGTGCGCAGGACCGTCATGATTGCTTTCGGTAGGTGGGGCTCGCAACGGGGTGTTCTTGGCAGGCGGGTTCGTGTCGACACAGTTCTGGTCGTTATGCCACTCGCCGTGAAATCTGGGGGGGAAATCACGATTGCGTGACGTGTTGCGATCCGCGTCCCCCGCCGTGTTTTTGACGTGCTGAACAGGGTCGTAATGCGCGCCACTCAGAAAATCCAACACGGTAACGGCGTCGTTACCTCCGTCAGGACGAGGAGAACGAGAGCGTTCTCTATGCTGAGAAGAAGAGTTTCGGTCCCCCTCACGTACAGGGGACCCACGCCTTCCACCACTCCTAGTATTCATGCAAGGAGCAGGAGCCTTACCACTTGCAGTGGAAATAACTCCGCTGACCATCGTAGAATAACTAACAGAAAGAACGTCTTGCCTAGATCTGGGCATAAGAGAGGTTCAGAGTGTGCTGGTCGTATACAAGTTGGAACAGAAAAGGCAAATGAGACTAGGAGGCAGGTCTGAAGGACTGCCGATAGATGGAGGAGTTTGTCTCCTTTACACCAAATGTCAACCATATTTTGTATATGTCTTATAGGCTAGATAGGTGCATACTCTTAGAGGGTACAACCCCTTAGACAAAACCAACTTGTTTGCATCATTACTATTAATTCATTCTCACTCTGATATGGTATAAAAGCTAGGTTAGTTCCCCCCCCCGCCCACCTGCGCTTCCGCCTTAGGCCTAGTCCTAGCCGCCCCGTTAGCGCCCCGCTGGCCCCGTTAGCGCCACGCTGGCCCCTTAGCGCCCCGTACGCTCCGCTGGCCTTTTAGAGCCCCGCTGGCCCCTTAGCGCCCCGCTGGCCTCGTTAGCGCCCTGCTGGCCCCGTGTGCCCCGTTGGCCCCGTTTGACCCGTTGGCCCCGTTAGCGCTGCGCTAGCCCTGTGCGCCCCCGGTCGGCTTGGCCGTTTCTCTCATGCAAAGAGCATTACCCAGTCGTACACCCTGCCGGACTCCCTGCAACAGAATGGGGTCACTGAGCGACGCATCGGTTTGGTCATGGAGGTCGCTCGTACCTCCATGATCAATGCCGGTACAACCCATTTCCTGTGGCCGTTCGCTGTTCGCTACGCCGCTCACCAGCTTAACCTGTGGCCACACTCTTAGCGGCCGCAGGTTTCGCTGACCCTTCTATGGACTGGGTTCCCTGGTGACGTGTTTGCGCTCCACGTCTGAGGCTGCCTCGCTCACGTTCGTACTTCTGGCACGGACAAGTTCACTGCCCACACAGTCCCCTATGTCTTCCTTGGTTTCCCCCTTGACACGTCTGACTCACACTTCTACCACCCACCGTTTCACTACTTCTTTCATTCGCGTGACGTCACTTTTGACGAGTCTGTCTCTTTCTACCACTGCTTTCTCCACCGAGGTCTCCCGATTTCCCCACCCCTGTTTTTGGTTCCCACTCCCCTGGTAGCCCCTACTCCTATCCCTCCCCGTCCAGCCCTGTATGGTGTGTCGCACGTCACTCCCCTCCCGTCACGTGTCCCGGTTGAGGAGTCGGCTGACTCCAAGGGTCCCGCGGCTTCAGTGTCGACGCCTGTCTCCACCCCAGTGTCCCCTCCTCCGCCGCCGCTGCCACCGCAGCAGCAGCAGCCATCGTCGCCATCGCAGCCGTAGCAGCAGCCGCTGCCGTCTGTGAGTTCTAGGGGTGGGGGAGTTAGGGAGAGTGCTAATCCTGGGGTTACTGTCGTGGCCTTCCCCGGCTGTCACAGGATCGAATGACTCGAGGAAAGGTTGCACTATCGATCAGTACAAGGTGCTTTTATACTTCCAGAGTACATCAGGTAACCAGGTTTATCCTATCCTAAGGGAATAGACCCTTCTAGAAGATAGAATCACCCTGCATATAGCCACGCGAGGCTATTGGCTTTAAGCGATTACGGAAGGATTACGCCAGATAGCGCACCAGTACATCCCAGCCTGGTCGGTGATATAATTATAAGAGCAGGATAAACCAAAGGTTAATGGAAAATGGAGAATTGGAAACCAAATGAGATCAGATAAAAAGATAAATGAAAGAGAAAGGAAATAAGAAAAGGGACAAGTGGTGTAACAGGGTCGTACTCTCACACTTCCCCCCCTCAAAGCTGGGTGGTAGAAGTAACACCCTGCTTGACAAGGTAGTCATGCAGAGGGCGACGGGCGTTACCCATGTCAGACTCAGGGACCCAGCTGTCCTCAGAAGGATCATAACCCTTCCAACGGATGAGAAGCTCCACGGTGCCATTCCGACGTCGACGGGCACGGACTTTCCCTCGTACTCGGGTTCATTATGGACGAGGACGGGTGGCGGCGGCGGCGGTTGGCGTCTGACGAAGATCGTGTTCGGATCCCGATAGGGCTTCAGAAGTTGGACATGGAAGGCGTTGTGAATCTTCCAGGTGGCTAGCAGACGCAAGCGGAAGGTAACAGGAGTAACATGTGCTTCGACGAGAAAAGGCCCGTAGAAGCGAGGTCGTAGTTTAGATGGGAGGTGGCTGATGTCCAGGTTGCGGGTGTCATGAAGCACCTGGTCTCCCACCGTGATGGTGTGGTCGTTGCGATGGCGATCAGCCTGGCGCTTTTGTTGCTGCTGAAAGTCGAGGAGGCGCTTGTGGGTCCGATCCCAAAGCTGATGCATGGTTGTGATGAAATCATGCGCAGGTTGTACTGTAGCGGATGTGGGCGGTTTCTGTGGTGTGAGTGGGTGGTGTCCGTAGCAGAGGAAGAACGGCGTCTGTCCAGTAGC